CCCCAAAACCCCAAAACCCCAAAACCCCAAAACCCCAAAACCCCAAAACCCCATATAGAACCCATGTGCTTGAACTTGGATTTTTTATAAATTTCTAAATATTAATCTAATTGGCTGAAGAAGGATTTTTAAAGGAATTTTGAATTAATTTCGATTTTTTAAGTTTTTTTTATGTAATTTTTCCCCTCTGAGGGAATCTTATTGAGGATAGGGAAGGATTCTTTAGAATTTTATTTTAATGACTGCGTAATTTTAGCAGAACAGGTTAATGCTTGGTACTGTGTTATACAATAAAGTTCTCTATTGGTTATGGTAAAGTACCTCCTTGGACTTTCATCATGCTTAATTTGGGGAGAGTAGTATTATTTACAATACTTATTATTGAGGTTTTTACGAATTTTGTTACCTTTGGTTGAATGATGATATCCAGAGTAAGTCAGGGGTTGATAAATAAAGATTTCAGCGGTTAATTCTGAATTGAGCTCTCTTTTAATAATAAAGAAGACTGAAGCCTGCTGATTAGGGATCTAAAACAGGATGGTACGCTAAACATTAAGTTCTGATTTAATTGGGGTTTTAGCTTTTGGGCTGTCATTTATGAAATTCTGAGAATATTATGACAATTTTCATGAGGCACTTAAATATGGCATAATAATTATGAGAAGACGTATTGAGGCTAAAGTCTATTTAAATATATCGAAATTTATCTGATTACTATATAAAAAGCTCAGCAGAAATTTTTAAAAGGAAGTTTGATTTGAAGTCTTCCTTCATAATTTCTGATATCACAGAATAAAAATTGTGGGAAATTATCTACCGACTTGGGAAAACCAGTAAGCTTGCTGGCTCAAAGTTTAGAGAGTTATTGATAACTAAAACTATGCACAGGTGTTTGCATCACATTGGTATTCTCTTTCATCTCATCAATGGAGTCGAAGGGAGCTTCTTTTGGAATAAACGAAGAGTTTTTGATTAAGTTATAATAACTTAGAATTTGTCCTTCGACATTTCAGCAATCATCTTTAAGAACTCCTGAGCCTTTGCTTTGTACAAGTCTGGGTGCTTGCTCAGAGTCTTGTCGTTAGCTAGCATGTGCTTGAACTCCGCTGAAGTCAAGAACTGTTTGAAGACAGTTTGAAACGGCTTCAGAGCAAGCAGGTTGGACAGCTTACCGAAGGAGTATTTGTTGAGCACATTATAGTACTTCACATAGACTTTGCGCACTTCATACTTGCCGATATACTTTTTCATGATCATCCTGGCTGAAATAGATGCGACCATGAGCTTTACCATGTAATAATCGTTGAGTGGAAAGCTGCTGAGCTGCTTCTTATCTTTGGCTAGTAATTCCAGAGGTGCTGCTTTGCTGATCTCTGCTTCTGTGAATAAACTGCCAAACCTGAGCTTACAAATTTGGTCGATCTTGCTAAGGATTTGGGACTCTTGATTTTTGGAATGAGCAAAAATATGCCTAGTGTTGCAGCATTCAAAGCTATAGAACTTCTTTACAGCTCGGAACAATGTTTTATGCAGCACGTCATCTCTGGTGTTCGTTTCAGCAGGTGTCTTCTTTGGTCGTTCTATACTTGCTCGACAACATTTGGGGCAGCTAAATATTAATTTAAATTCCAAGAATCAGACACTTGACTTACTCTTGCAAGCTCTAGGAAATTTTTTGGGAGGTATAGATACTAAAGAGTCCTTACTTGCAATAGGAGAGTTCTCTCGATCATTCTTAGGCGAATGTTTAGTTTCTTCAAGGCCTCATCCAGAGTGACACCGAGAGGAATTATTTGAACCTTGAAAATTTCTAGGTTTAAGCGGGACTCTCGGCTTCACCACACTGAAAGCTGACAGCTCTGAGTTCTTTGAAATTGGCTTTCAGAGTTTTCCTTTTATATTTCTAAGGCTACCATGCATATTCCTCGGTAAAATAAGGTTGACTCCATGATTTACTGGCTCATCTTGGTTATGTGAGTGGTTCGATAAAATATTTTCTATATAAATTCATCGGGCATAAAATTAGAAGATGAATTAAATAAAATTATATTCGGCTAAATTACCGAATGGTAGTCCAAATTTGTGGCACGTTTTCTGGGAAATATTTATAGCAATTAAAAATATCTAAATTGATAGGAAAAAATTGACTTCACAAATTTGCAACAAGAGATCTTGCTGACTGGTAAACCATTTGCATAAAGTGTTTGAATGCCAAATATCGGGTCTTTAGGCTATATCCTTGATTCAGATATAAGCTACACTGCTTCAATATTTATTGCAACGAGCTATATGTTTGCAATCAAATAGTATCCTGACTTAAACTTAATAGACCAGTTAATCAATGCAAAATTAAAACAAGTCTGGTTTTAACAAAAACTAAGAGTGTCTATGTAGAATAATAAAAAGTTTAGTTTAGTTTGCAACTAAATGCAATGCAGCTCCAAAAAACTCCACTTGCAATCAGCATAAGCCAACAAGTTCATTCCCTAAAGTCTTTTGTAGTTAAAGCGACATACTTATCCCAATACCTCCTTCCCTATTCTGCTTTCCAGTCCTTTCAATCTGAGCCTCTGGCTTGGCAAAACTAGGCGCCAAATAGTTGAAAATCTGCTGTCTCTTTTTGGTACATAAGCTGTTAAGCATTAGGATTTTATTATAATTTGGGTGAGGATTTTCAGGTGCTTTTGGGGGTTTGGGGTTTTGGGGTTTTGGGGTTTTGGGGTTTTGGGG